TTTATTTAATCCTTTCAGCAACCCTAGGAGGAAGGTATTCTTATCCCCATTTTACAGAGAAAGATATGGAGGTTCAGAGATGTTAATAACTTGTCCCAGGTCACAGAGCAAGTCAGCTGTGAAGCAGGTGCCAAATCCAGGTTTGCTTGACTCCAAAATCCATACTCATGCTACTCCGATGCATGCTACAGAGAGTTTTGCTGGGCCAGTAATGGGAAGAAGGTAGGGATTTTGCAAAATTTGTCTTAGGGACCCAGTATAGAAGTATACCACTAGCTTTGGGGTTTCTGGGCTGCTTCCTGATAAGGGACAGAGTTAGATGAGATGCTAAGGATGTCAGTGTTTTCTCTCTATACACACAGCAAGGCAGGCATTTTTTCCTTTAACTCGTGTTTTGCTTTCTATAGAGAGAATCCTTTTTCTGATACTTTCTTTCCAAAGCTTATAACATCATAGGCTCTATAGTGGAGCGTAGTACAGCTTTCAACAAGAAAAAGAAAAGTTATTGGCCATTCTGCCCCTTTGCAGTTCAAGTATCATTCAAAACATTTGCTTCTATTTGTTTGCCTTTTGCAAAACATCAAGGGTGATTTTGAAATAAATAAGAAGTAAAATATTTCACTGAACCAAAAAAGCCCAGTACCTGGCCATCTGGAAGTGTTTATTTATTTGTTTAAACATTGCTGGAATCATAGAAAATTTAAATGCAGGTAACAAAGAACAAAAGTTTAGAGATTAGATACTATATTAGAGTCATTCCATCTAATTAGATTTGAACTGTTTTAGGAAACAAATAACTTGTTTGGGGACACTCATCAAGATCATAACAAAAATTCCTTAGAAAATTAACAGAGCTTGGAGTTTATTGCGGATCTCTGCCTGTGTGGAGAAGAAATCGCCAAACTAGAGTAAACAAAACTGTCTCTACAGACAAATTAAATTTTGGTGGATGTTCATGTGCACAGGTGGGCAGCACCTTAGTCTATTATGTTGTGATTAGGGTCAGAGTCCTTTTCCATAAATGCAGCAGCATTAAATAATATAATTCCACCATCTAAAATCTTATTATATATTTTCTTGTTTGTTTATTTTTTTTTTTTTGAGACAAAGACTTTTTTTTTTTTTTTGGTTTTTGAGCTAAGATTGTGTCACTACACTCCATCAATAGGACAGAGTGTAGTAACACAATCTTGGCTCATAGCAACCTCCGCTTCCTCGGTTCAAGTGATTCTCCTGCCTTAGCCTACCAAGTAGCTGGAATTACAGGTATGTGCCACCATGCCAGCTAATTTTTGTATTTTCAGTAGAGACAAGGTTTTGCCATGCTGGCCAGGGTGATCTCAAACTCCTGACCTCAAGGATTCTAGTGCAAGTTGTCTTTTGTGGACACATTTTCATTTCTCTTGAATAGATATCTGTTAATGGAATTGCTGAGTCATGGGGAAGATAAATATAAATGTCAGAGTTCTTTTCTCAGGATGATTGTGCAACTTCACACCTCCACTATCAAAATATGAGAGCACATCCTTGCTGTCATTAGATGTTAATTTGCATTCTTCTGGATGACTAATGACATTAAGCACTTCATGGTTCTTTACCGACCTTGTGTATATCTTCCTTTGTAAAATGACTGTTCAAATCTTTTTCCATTTAAAAAAATTGGGTTGTCTTTATTATTATTGTTATTATTAATTATTATTATTTGAGACTGAGTCTCACTCTGTCACCCAGGCTGGAGTGCAGTGGCACCATCTCAGCTCACTACAACCCATGCCTCCCAGGTTCAAGTGATTCTTCTACCTTAGCCTCCCAAGTAGCTGGGACTACAGGCACACGCCACCACGCCCAACTAATTTTTGTATTTTTAGTAGAGACTGGGTTGCACCATATTCGCCAGGCTGGTCTCAAACTCCTGACCTTATGATCTACCCAATTCAACCTCCCAAAATGCTAGGATTACAGGCATGAGCCACCACGCCCGGCTGGTTGTCTTTTTATTAGTAGGTGTGCTTTGCATTTCTTCACATGGTATACAAACCTCATCTTTTTGTCTTTCTCCTCCAAATGATGCCAGGGATTCTTCTTTGTTTTGTACTATAGTCCCAGTGTTTCAGATTGTCACTGGCACACAGTAGAAGCTCAATAAACATTTACTGAAAAAAATCAACGAATAATCAAGTGAACTGACTTTTGGGTCTCATATTCAGACATAATGTTCTTGAACTTAATGGCATTAATTAACAAGAAAATAAAAAAAAGGAAATTTAAATGCTATCCTTGAGGCATGACGTACGCTTGGCACCAAGGACACAGAATACCTTCAGGGGACTGGACATAGTGTCTTATGCCTGTAATCCCAGGCATTGAAGTGGGAGCATCACTTGGGTCCGGGCAACACAGTGAGACCCTATCTCTACAAAAAATATTTAAAAAAGAAAATAGCCAGGCATGGTGGTGTGCGCCTGTAGTCACAGCTACTTCTAGGACTGAGGTGGGAGGATAGCTGGATCCTGGGAGTTTGAGGCTGCAGTGAGGCCTGATTCCACCACTGAACTCTAGTCAGGGTGACAAAGTAAATCCCTGTCTCAAACAACGACAACAACAAAGCCCAAGACAGAATACCTTCAGGGGATTTGTTCACCCAGGGGAGATACTGCTAGACCATCTCATGGAGTGGCCTAATTTGTCCCTGTAGTGTAAGACATCACTGCTGTCACATCTGCCACATTCTGGGACTATGCCCAACCATATCCAAGTCTTGAGTTCTGACCAGGTTTCCTTAATGGATGACAAGAACCTCTAGCTTTAGAGGGTTTTAGGTAACTTTGCCCAGCTGATCCCACTGTGCCTTTAACCACCTTCCTCTTGGGCCCCTCTGACACTGATAATGCCTGTCCCCTGACGCTTGGCCCCTCTGCCTGACTCTGTCTCACTAGCAGGCCCATTGCCACTCTGTGCTCTGCCTTTCTTAGCATCCCTAAAAGGCCAGGCAGGAAAGGATGGGACTAGTTGATTATCACATCCCTGACCAGCTCTAAGGAATTCAGTAATTCCCATATTCATCCCTAAACACATTTACCATCAGTTATTAATGGGGCTTTCTTAATTTTACACTGAAAGGCCAGTAGGGGCCCCTAAGTCTTAAAGCCGTTTTCCTGGTCCCAATCCAGCAGACTCCAGCCTATCCGGTTGGGGATATCTACAATGAATAAGAATCATCAGCATTCACATTTGTAGAGAACTTTGCCATTTACATGTTTGTATCTGTCATCTTACATAAACCACCAAACAGTCCTAGTTGTAGCCCTCTTTGGTTTCTATTTTCCCAAAGTTTCTGTTTCCCAAAGCAAAAAGAGGTGTGTTTTCTTTTCTCTTTTTCTTTTCTTCTTTTTTTTTTCTTTCATGAGACAGGGTCTCACTCTGTTGCCCAGGCTGGAGTACAGTGGTGCAGTCATGACTCACTGCAGCCTTACCTCCCTGGGTTCAAGTGATCCTCTCACTTAAGCCTCTTCAGTAGCTGGGACTATAGGCACATGCCACCATGCCTGGCTAATATTTTTTTATTTTTAGTAGAGATGAGGTCTCACTATGATGCCCAGGCTGATCTCAAACTCCTGAGCTTAAGCAATCCTTCCCCTTTGACCTCCTGAAGGGCTAGGATTATAAGCGTGAGCCACCGCTCCTGGCAGAGTTTTCTAAAATCCTCTAGCTCTTGCTAAAAAACTATTGGTAGTTTCTTAGTTCTGGTGGGTATGCAAAAAAAAAAAAAAAAGTCTCATAGATTTTTACAGTTCAGAAACCTGGTTTATGTCTGTCATTAGATTCAATTGCACACCGCAGACATATATGAGTAGTTCCTAACCTTTTAATTTAACCATTATTATGGATTTTTTTCCCCCTTGGATCACATGTTACTTTCTTTTAACTCCACCAAAAGCTGTATTTATTGGCTCACTTTACCTTTTTTATTCATCAGATTTATACCTCTCAGTCAGAGTTTAGAATCAGGATCAGTTAGTCTCTTACCTCACTAAGCTGATTTTATTACAGCCAAAATAAAGACATTTGATATTTGGATTGGCTTCCAATCCTAATAACTAGTACATTTCCATTTCCGATGGGGTTTTTGAAAGATTAAAAAGTTAATACAGTAACCCTTGAGAAAGTGGAAGCAAAAGTTGTTTCTTGTGAAGAAGTAGCCCTTGTGTGTTGAAGGGCTTCACTCTTGCCTTGTCTCTGATGCCTGAATGTGAGCAACACGGGTATTACTAACTTTAACCCTTTCACTGCAATCTGGGCCTTTCTCTGGCTCTATAGGGACTGAGGATTAACCAGCCCCACCCTAGTAGTCCTCAGCTGCTGGAGCATTTGGGTTCTGATGTCAAGCCCATAGGACTTGGGGAGAACATGCGTTTCATTGAAACAGTCATTCTCTTAAGGTGCAAATGTTAAAATGTCATGCAACCAGGACTATTACCTAAAATCAAAACTTACCCAATTTGAATTATACTCTCAAAGGATTATGATGAGTATTGTAAAGGTAGTGTTTGTTTCTAAATTAATAGAATTAATAAATGTCATTCTGTTTGCCAGTTATGGAAGAGATACAGTTGGAGAAGACTATTAATATAATGTGCTTGCATTATGTTTTTATTATTTAGCAGATTGTGTTGCATGAACCAATGAAATATGATGCTATAATTTGAAAGTAATTATGAAAGCAAAAATGCTTATGGATAACATTAAGTGAAATGCAGAATGAATAACTTAGATACATAGACTCACAGTTAAGAAAAATATATACATGTAGCTAATGGCTCAGGGTAATCTGTAGAAATGAAAAAAATACATTAGAATGGACAAGGATGAGTCTCTTTCAAAATATTTTTATGTAAGTTGTTACATGTATCAATTTTCCAATTAAAAGTTAAAGATGGATTTATATTGCAGTGAAGAATATGTTTTATTAATACTGTGTTTGGTTTTGTCTTATTTTGTAGGAAAGCCAGCAGAAATCCACCAATGTAGTCTATCAGGCCCACCATGTGAGCAGGAATAAGAGAGGGCAAGTGGTTGGAACAAGGGGTGGGTTCCGAGGATGTACCGTCTGGCTAACAGGTATGTCATGTTCAGATATATACATATTATTAATTGCAAATTGACATGTGATACAATTTTGTGGAAATTAGTATAACATATTACATGCTTGTTTTATCATTAGAAGGAGGCTGGGAGATGTAGTCGAAAGCCTGGGTGTTAGTCCTAACCCTACCATCAGTGAGAAATAGAGTTAAGGTTGACTATAAAAATAGAGTCTGATCAAGTCAACTGGAAAAGTCTCTAGTTGTCACTTTTCTCCTCTTTGTCAGGAAAGGATGAGACAAGGTGATTATGACATTGACATTCCCTTTCATTGCTAAGAAATTCAATAATTCTCATGTTCATCCCTAAACATATTTACTGGCAGTTATGAATGAGGCTTTCCTAATTTGACATCAAGCATTTGGCTGTCCATAAGGTTTTCGATGTCTAGAGATATTTGTTATTGTTGCCTAATGTTTTGACATTCTAGGAGGGTATTTCACTTACTGTCTAAACAAGCAAACAAACAAACATAAGAATCTGTGCAAGAAGGAAAGCTAGAAATTTCCATTTGGCTGAGGACTGCCCTTGTTTTTCTTTTCTCTCTTTCTCTCTCTCTCTCTCTCTCTCTCTCTCTCTCTTTCTCTCTTTCTCTCTCTCTTTTTTTTTTTTTTTTGCACATAGAAAATGATTCGGTTCCAATGCAGGACTGCCCTTGTATACAGAAATAACTCGCTGCTGCTGAAATGATCAAATGACTCTCCCTTTTCTTGTGTTTTTATAGCCACAGAATGTCAAAGCTAAGAGTTAGTGACAGAACTGGAATTAAAACCTGACTCCCAATAGGTAGCCCTAGGCTGTTACCTTGTATGCTGAGTCCAAGGTAGACAAAATTATTTCTGGACTCAAAAGGAAAAAAAAAAAAACGAAGATCATTTCAAACAGTCTTCAAATGGAATGAGCCCACCTGCAAAACTAAGTTTATTCAGGTTATAAAATGTTGATTGTTTCTAACCTGAAGCTCATTCTAAAGAATCTGGCAGGTAGGGACCTGCCTTGCATCTTTTCTTGCTATCCTGAATCTTTACCCTTTTCTGTCGCAACCAGCCTCTTTCTTGTCCTTTCCAAGTTTTCCCTTGTGCCTTTGGTTTCCTGGTTTCATTCATGCCTGGACTGTGCATCAAAACAACTTTCTGCAGCCTCCGGTGCAAGGACAGACAGTGAGCAACAAACCTACTGTGCTCAAATATGCACCATCCTCCTGTGATTACTCCCGAAATGTTTACCTCAGCTCCCCCCAAGAGATGTAATTTGAACAGTAGTTATAGCTGTATTCTAGAAGATCCCCTCCTGTTATATGTTTGCCTTCATGCGAAGATCACTGGTGAAAACAACTTTCGTGTTGAGCTATATGCACAAAGTGCATTTTCTCTAATGTGACACTCCTTAAAAAGAAAAAGAGCATTGGTAGAAGAGAAACATATCCAAAGGGTATGCTTTCTCCTTCTTTGCTCTTGAAATGAATTATCTTTTCATTAGAAAAGAATAGATGGGAAATTTTAAAAATCAAGACCGGGCTTGGTGGCTCATGCCCGTGATCCCAGCACTTTGGGAGGCCGAGATGGGTGGATCACCTGATGTCAGGAGTTTGAGACCAACCTGGCCAACACAGTGAAACCCTGTCTTTACTAAAAAGACAAAAATTACCTGGGTATGGTGGTGAACGCCTGTAATCCCAGCTACTCAGGAAGCTGAGGTAGGAGAATCACTTGAACACAGGAGGCAGAGGTTGCAGTGAACTGAGATCGTGCCACTGCACTCCAGCCTGGGTAACAGAATGAGACTCCATCTCAAAAAATAAAAATTAAATTTAAAAATTAATTAAATTAAAAAATCATCTTTATCTAATTTATTTTTTATTCTTATGTTACAAAGGTAGGCTGTTGACCAGGCAGACTAGAAGAAACAAAATATTTTAAATCCATAGACTCAGATTTTAGCCTCAACTCCACCAAATGAGCTGTGTGACTTTGGACAAGCCAGTTAGGCTCTCTAAGCCTCAGTTTTCTTATTTGTACGATGAGAATAAAGACAGTACCTGACTTATGGAGGTGTCGCTATAACTTAATCAATAAAAGACAAATGCACTTTTCACAATGCCTGATACATAGTAAAGTTCTCAGTAACTGTAATTAGTGTTACCTCAATGTATGAAAGTACACATGCCAACAATCTGTTTACATATACTTACTGTAGGGCTGGGTACAGTGGCTCATGCCTGTAATCCCAGGAGGCCGAGGTGGGCAGATCACAAGGTTTGGTGTTCAAGACCAGCCCGGCCAACAGGGTGAAACCCTGTCTACTAAAAATACAAACATTAACTGGGCGTGGTAGCAAGCGCCTGTAGTCCAAGCTACTTGGGAGGCTGAGGCAGGAGAATCACTAGAACCCAGGAGACGGAGGTTCCAGTGAGCCGAGATCACGCCACTGCACTCTAGCCTGGTGACAGAGCGAGACTCCGTCTTTAAAAAAAAAATATTGTAGCCACCTAGGGCTGAAGCTGGCATTTTCCCTGAGCCTGCCAACAACAATTTTGATTTGATCTTGAAGTACCTGTAGATTTTTCTCTGGTTTATTAGAGGTGTTAATCATCACTAAACCCAATAAAAAGTCCTAGCAGACTCAGTGATAGTAAAACTTTCATGCTTCCTTTTTGTCAGTAATTATTATTCCTGCTATAAGGATAATAATTAAGCACAATATAATAGCAATGGAAACTCTGTCCAATGTTTCAGTTAGAAGGTGCAACTGTGTGTAACCCTATTGCAAATAGTAGAGTGAGTATAGCAGTTCCCACAAGTGTGGTGTAATAGATAATTTCCATCTAAAATTTTACTTGCCAAGATATAGAATTTCCCTTTGGCAGTCTATGAAGCTTTGGTTTTATTTTCCCAAACAAAGAAGCCTAGGGGTTATGGGTAACCCTACTTACTTTCATTACCTGGCAGAATTTGCAGGATAATTGTCCAGAACTAGTATATTAATTCAGACTTTCACGTTACCAACCCTTTTTTTTTTCTTCCAAGCTGTGGTAGGTTACCACTTTACTCTTATTCTTGGCCTTATTATTTGCATGAAGTACAGCAAGAATAGTTATTTCTCCACAGGTTTTTGGATTGGCTTTGATGAAACTCTGTTCCACAAAAAATCTTAGATTAAGACCTCTAAAGCCAGACTCAGCCATAGGTTTGTATCTTCAAATACCTGTGAGTTGGGTAATCCTTTCCTCTGAGGTTACAAGATAAATTCGGAGCTTCCAGACCTATTAGAAAGTGACATTCTTTAATGACCACAGGTAAGGAACCCTGTGGGAGGACTGTAGACAAGGTATGAAGGACTCATTTTTTTTTTTTTTTTTAGAGTGCTAGTCTTTAGAATAGTTCAGATTTCGAACTGTTAAATAACTTTGACAGGTTGTGTTTATTTCCCTTTCTTCTTATGTTCCTCCTCATATGGAAATTACAAAGTATGTTCCTGATCATTGTGCTTTGAAACCATGGTAGAAGCCACATGGTAACTCTTTTCTCCTATAAAGACTCTAGAGAGTCTTTACACCTAAGAGTGTGACATATGGCAGCTCTAAATACATGTTCCTAGCCGGCTTCCTGTCTTTATATTTTGAGAGTCATTTTGGAAGCATCTTGAAGCCAAAAGGACAGCATCCCGGCTCTGTGAGACGGTTGTTCCACAAGGGAGGTGGACTTATTAATGTCTGCAGGGGCTAGCTGTTCCCTCCATTCCAGCTGATTGCTGACTTTGATGGGGATATGAGACCACTGTCACCACATCTTTTGATTTTTTTCAAGAGAATACAGAATCTGGATTTGTATCCACAGCTTCCTTTTTGCTTTTGTGACAAAGTCTCACTCTGTTACACAGGCTGGAGTGTGATGATGGCAACAGAGCTCACTGCAGCCTTGACTTCCTAGGCTCCAGAGGTCCTCCCACCTCAGCCTCCTGAGTAGCTGGGACCACAGGTACACACCACCACACCTGGCTAATTTTTTTGTTTTTTGTAGACACGGGGTCTCACTATGTTGCCCAGGCTAGTTTTGAACTTCTGGGTTCAAGTGATCCTCCTGCCTTAGCCTACCAAAATGCTGGGATTACAGGCCTGAGCCACCATGCCCAGCCTGTATGACAACTTTCTAATCTTTACAAAACTCTGCAGCTCAAACAGAACACATCGAGGACCAAAGTTATTTCAAAATTTGAGAAAAATGTATTCGCCTTATAGTCAACTACACTTTTTCAAGATTTTAATGATTTCTTTCTTTTAAGATTTAGTTATATTTTAAATTGCTGGATTAGTTAATAATTTGTCACCTTAAACTATCCAGGCCAATGTCAGTCTGCTTTATCTGTTCTGAACAGGTCTCTCTGGTGCTGGAAAAACAACAATAAGTTTTGCCCTGGAGGAGTACCTTGTCTCTCATGCCATCCCTTGTTACTCCCTGGATGGGGACAACGTCCGGCATGGACTTAACAAAAACCTTGGATTCTCTCCTGGCGACAGAGAGGAAAATATCCGCCGAATTGCCGAGGTGGCTAAGCTGTTTGCTGACGCTGGTCTAGTCTGCATTACCAGCTTTATTTCTCCATTCTCAAAGGTAAGAAAAAAAATGGCACTACACACAATTCCCGTACACAGTGCAAGTACTCTCATACCGCTAGGGGAAGGAGTCAGAGAGGGAGGGCATAAGAATGTCTCCTTTCAATTTCCCGACTATTTCTTCCCCCATCACAGGCTCTCTCATTTCCTCTATTTAATATTGGTTATATAAAGAGAATTCCTTCCTTTCCAGATGCCAGGGCACCAGTGGACATAAACCCTTCCATGTTCACAATTATAAGAAACATTTGGTCAGAGTCAAAGGGAAGAAAAAGTTAAACAAGAGAAACTCTAAAGCTCTGTAATTTTAGTTGTCAGAAAAAGGATCTAACTAAAGAAAAGAGCAGTTCACAGCTGAAGCTTCAGGTTCTATGTGTTTAACACTGACATCACTGAGGTAGAGTGTCACTCTTCTTTTAAATCAGAAAATTTCTGGGAACCACAACATATGTAGCTCTGAACACATCCTTTCAATAAAATGCTCCCATATGCCAGTGCTTTCCTGCTAAGAGGGCCTGTTTTCCATGGTTTTTCTCTGAAAGTCCTTGAGAGAGCTGTGTTTACCAGAGTGAAATTTCTGGACTTTATCTCAAGCACTCTGCAATGCACAACCCCAGTGTTATCTCAAGGCTATTGAAAACAAAAGTACACAGTGTTTTGTGATTTAGAATTTCATCATGAAACCTCTTTTTATATTCTTAAATATATTGCTTTTCAGGATCGTGAGAATGCCCGCAAAATACATGAATCAGCAGGGCTGCCATTCTTTGAAATTTTTGTAGATGCACCTCTAAATATTTGTGAGAGCAGAGATGTAAAAGGCCTCTACAAAAGGGCCAGAGCTGGGGAGATTAAAGGTATGTGGATTGGCTAGTAGCATCTTTACCAGTTACTTAGGCTATCAGTCCCTATTCTGTCCTAGAAATCTTCCTTGAGTTTCAAACTCTTTTCCAAAATGGTATATAACATGCACAACTTTTTATCACATCATTCAATATGTCCACAGGCTTATTAAAATGTGGGGTTTTATTTTTAAGAATTGTCATCTCAGCCATATGTAATGAAGTTCAGAGAACTAAAATGGATATTTATATGTGACTGTGTGTGTAGAGGAGTGTTTCAGAGTTTTTCCTTATTATTGCGTTCCTTTTTGATTTTAATCATCTATAGAGGGCTTCAACTTAGCCAGCTGGATTTTGTTGCCAATTTGGGGCTTTCCATATTGAAAATACAACTATATATTTTCTTATTGCTAGAAGTCAAGGATGGCTGTTTGACATTTTCTGTTAAAATGTGAATTTTCAGTTTAATACATTATTCCAACATGTGTTTTGCCTTATTGATAACAAAGACTATTCTGTCAATAGAGATGCGATTGTCACCCATTTGTCTTGCAGGATTTACAGGTATTGATTCTGATTATGAGAAACCTGAAACTCCTGAGCGTGTGCTTAAAACCAGTTTGTCCACAGTGAGCGACTGTGTCCAGCAGGTAGTGGAACTGCTGCAAGAGCAGGTGCGTGAACTGATTGTCTTTTTTTTTTTAATATTTAATATAGTCATGAAAGACAATCTGTGCTTCTTTACTGAAGCATTGCTTTTACAGTTTTCATTTCAATTTTGTTTCATGTCAGAACATTGTACCCCATACTATAATCAAAGATATCCACGAACTGTTTGTGCCTGAAAACAAACTTGACCAAGTTCGAGTGGAGGCTGAAACTCTCCCTTCATTATCAATTACTAAGGTAAGTAGGTGCACATTGATTAAAGGAGAATCAGGCTTAGTATCAGTCATTATAACTTATTTACAATTACTCTTAACAATAAGTAAGGTGTAAATAAGGCGCACGTAATATCCACAAATAAAACACTCCTTTTTTGCCAAGTTTTTTAAACCTCTTATCTAAGCAGTCTCTCACCGAGAATTGCCACAAGGCAGCTGATCAATGCCATGTATGGAGGTGACTGGGGAAATAACTTCTATATTTGCACTGGACAGTTTTACATAGCTGCCATTGTACCAGTAAGTACATCTGGTAGAAAAATATAGCCAAACCAGGATTTTTGTGGATAAAAGAAAGAATAGTTAATTGTCAACTCAGTTGCACATTTGGGGAACAGATACAGCCTTACAATATTCAAATAAGTCATCTCAATACAAAATCTTTTCATCAGTGTTTCACAGGAAATTTCCAAACTGAAATCTCTCTGGCCCTTAGCTCATGGGTTAGCATAACAGGTGGGAACACAAAACATAGAAGGTTCTACCCTCATCCTGCTGTTAACTGAATAAGATAGGACTTCCCTGGGTCCAGATACCTGGAAAATAGCGCTTATGAAAATGCTCAACTACTTTTTGTGTTTCGCAGCTGGATCTCCAGTGGGTCCAGGTTTTGAGTGAAGGCTGGGCCACTCCCCTCAAAGGTTTCATGCGGGAGAAGGAGTACTTACAGGTTATGCACTTTGGCACCCTGCTAGGACGGTATGTTTTTTTATTGTTTCTTACTCTTTGTTGTTAAAGGGAAAAAAAAATCTTTCCCAGAAGTTTTACAGGAGAAGGAAATATATTTGGATCATTTATAGTGTGCTCCATTCTATTATGTTTAAGCTTCCATTTTTAGGATTTTTTGGTTGTTCTCAAGGGTTATTCCTTTAAAACTAAGGAACTAAAAAAATGGTTTTAAAGCCAAGAAAAACACAAGTCTGTTTCACCTCCACCTGCTCTTTGCTTGTGCTGATATTCAGAAGGCAGTACATAGAAGTACCATTGCCACCTGCTAGAGACCATCCTGGGGCAGTCAAGATGAGGTCAGCACATGTTGCTGACCTCCATGGCACCCCCCACCGTCCAGGTTGCTCACGTCAAGCTTTATTGCAACAACGGCTTTCCTTGGTGCATGCTAAAGTATCAGTGTTCATGCCCACACAGGAAATATATTAAAATGGCTTCTTCCACTACACTCTAACAAAAGAGCATTAAATCAGCTTTCTGGGCACAGGCTGAATGGCTTTTAGAAAACCAATCTGGTCAAGCTCAGAAGCATGTGTCATTGAGAAGATTTCCGGACCCTTCCATGATCATTTCCTTCCTAGAACTAACTGCCTGAGCTTATCAAATATAACTTATCTATTTCAAGATCTTGAGGGAATGGCTGCTAAGTGGAGAAGGAGTGGGGGTAGAGTCACACTGAATTTGTAATACTGAGCAGGGTTCCAACCCTTTTAGGAAGAAAAATCAAACAAGATGTTCTCTTTTGGGAAAGATAATCATATCTTGTGTATGCGCCTTTGCCTGGGGATTGGGGCCTGAAGTCAGAATCAGAACTCAAAGACTGATCATCACAGGTCCTCTTCCCTTATTCTTTTGCTGTGACAGATGACACCCCACAACCTGAATTCTTCACTTCTCAAATTAAATACTATTCCCCAAAGACACTTAGTTTACTTCTAGCTTGCTTTAACAACAACAATAATAATGCATATCTCTATACCGTGTCTGTGTTTTCAAAACATTTTCTCAGGCATTATTTCATTTTGATCCTCACAAAAGCGCTAGAAAAAAGGCAGCAATTATTATCCCACTTTACAGATGAGGAAACTGGCCTCAAAGTAAGTGATTTGTTCAAGTTCATGACATTCATAAGTGAAGGCCCAAGACCAGAGTTCATAATCTTAGGACTCCTGTCCCAGTGCTCTTTCCATGCCAGGCTGTTCCCCTGATGTCCTTTCCAATAGAATCTGCAAAGCCTGGCAGTCTACAAGGAAGGCTGACCTTTATCTTGATGTCTTGATTTTGACACATGCTGAAAACAGGCTGCATGAAGTTAAGGTCACTGGACTTATCAGCTAGCCATGAGCAAGAGGTTGATTTTGAGCATGTGAACCAGAGCTGTGGCCAAAAGACAAGTGAGCCACATTGAAAGAGGGGCCTCAATACAAATAGTGCTGTTAACAAGGGCTCATTTCATGAAGAAAAATACCAGGGTGGTGGAAGTGGTTGCGGAGGTCAATGTTAATGGAAATCAGGGGTCCTTAGCCTGGGATCTGGGACTTCAGGGTGGGCTAACAAAAAATCCTAGAGACAAAGTTGGTTTGTGTTTTGATAAGGAAAGGAGGGAGCATTTTCCTGGGTATGGAAATAGCACAACATCTGGTCTTGAACCCTGCTGACAGAGCCACACTGGAGCCACAGGAGGATAAAGGGATCTACATGGCTTACAAGTGTTGCCTCACTCAATTCACTAGTACTATGGAACTAAAGCAACCTCCCAGACAATCTTCATCTGAGGTTAATAGAGAGGAAGGAAACATTTTTCCCACTTAAAGAAGAGTCCATAAACTGCGACAGCCCTACTGATACCAAGAACTTTGGTGGCTGGAGTGATGCAGCAGGATCTGTTTTTCTGAGTACAGACAGACCCACAGATCCACATAGCAAGTGGCACATGGCTAGGGGCTTGACTTGGAGACACAGGAAACACACCCTTTGGGGACTCCCATAAACACTTGGGTAGGCTTTGAAAAGAACTGGGCTTTCCGCATGAGCAGGTAGGGACTTGGAACTTGTAGGCTTCAAGTATTAGTGGGAAGGTGACCATATTCATATCCCCCAGCTGGTGGGTTTGGGGGGATAGACATCTGGATTACATGGAAACTGAGAGCAATAATAAGTGCTTCATCCACCTCATTGTAGTGAGCATCAAATAAGAAATGAGTCACTCCATATATTACTCAAGAATCTACTTTTATATCAATGTATCATATCACTTTATTTTGCACTGGAAGTATAGTTCCAGGGTTGTCACAGACATTTTAATCATAAATGTCACATCTAAATTTAAAAATGGAACCACAAGCTTGGGTTGACTGATGGCATCCAAGTAGGATTGAGACAGGGCAGCCTTGTGAGACTCCCTCATTTAACAGCTATTCTTCCACAGCTCTGACTTTCCAATGTAGGGTGTGAGGGCACTCCGCATGTATCACCAGCACTTACTGAGCACCAATTATGTTCTGACACTTGAGTTTGACATAGATTATGACATTTAATCTGGATAATACCACAGTAAATATATTTTGTCCACTTTAGAAAATATCTATTAGAAACGGTTACATAACTTAATTTGAAGCCTAGACTTAAATCTGGGTTGTCCTGCGTCTAACATTGGTGCTTGTTCTGTTGGGCATATTTTCATGTCTTCTAACCATGTGGGATTCTAGGATGTTCTAGGGCAGTTTGCTTCTATACCTGGCCCCAAAGCCTAGTTTGTAAACTATTCAACAGTGGTTGTAAGATCCCATGTTTGTAAGAGAAAATTTCCTGGTGAAGCTAGAGGTGATATTAACATGTTATAATTATTTTAAAACAGATGTCTCTTCCCAGTGGAAGGAAAAATAAATAAATAAATAATTAGAAAATCAGATAAACATCTGAACAATGCTTTGGGATTGTATTGAACAACATTCTGTAGAAGTTCTGATTTCACCAGCATTTTGCTATCATATACTCTCTGTTTTTTAAAATAGCATGACAAAACTAGTATATTTGTATGTTGTACATGTAAAGTGTCATAACAGTAATTTGCTCCATGACGTTGTTGCTGTAAGATTCTTTTGGTGGAAAGCTGAAAATGTTTCTTAATTATGTTTATATTTCCCTAGGTATGGTGCTTCCCGGTATGTACTTTAACTTTCCAAGTAGCTAAATTATGATAATTATATGTGCTACATTAACTGGAAATGGTTAAGAATATAACTAAAAGAAAATCTACATTAACCAGTTGGAATCACTATTAGTTTATGATCCAACCAGTTATAGTAAAATAATACTGTATTTTTCTTTTCACTGGAGTCCAAACAACAGGAAATTTCTGGATCAGATGTAGCTATTGTGTATAATGTAGTATTTGGCTGAAAAAAGTAAACTTGTTTCTAAATTATCATTGCACATTTTGTTCCTGAGTCTTTTATATTTATGATCTTCTTCCAGTGCCTGTTGATCTCATTTACTTTAACAAATCTGGAAATTTTGTTCTATGGTGTTTACAAAAGATTTTAAGTTGAGGAAGAATAAATCAATCAAAACAAATGTACCTGGTTGGATTGTGTAGGATTGTACTTCATTGGTTTGTAATGTATGATTATGCATGAACTTAATTTCAAGCCATTGTGATTGCTAGTTATAGAACTGGGAGTAAATATACATTTGCTGTGACTGTAAACTTCTGCATTGTGCAAGAATGAAAAGGTAAAATTCTGAATGTCATCTATTTTTGGTATTGCTTTCGTCATTGTTGTTTTTCTTTTAAAAAGCTCAATTAAGCCATAAAGTATAATTTAGGTTTTGCACAGAAACAGTCCCAAACAATGTGAAGCAGATGTACAAGGCTAACACAGAAGGCTTGAAAAGTATTGAAAGCAAAAGAAAAATCATCCTATTGAACAATAAATTATCTCTTGGACTTACTGTGGTTGAAGGACCACAATATTGTTTTTCAAAATGAGATATATCACAATAAAATAATCAAGGCAGTTCCCACCAGAGTTGAATGAAGCACATGAAGGAAAAGACTGAAAGTTGAAGTCAAGGTTGAAAGCCATGGGTGATGTTTCAGCAGAGTTCAAGTATTACATCTTAGTAATAGTTGGATAAGTTTATGTATTAGAAAAGTTGATAAAGATGATAGGGAAACTACAGTAAATCTGTGTATACACACATGGAGTTGTAGCTACAGGCTTATAAGATCAGTTGGCATTACGACTTGGCAGAACTCCTTTCTATAATATCCCACAGATTCACTTCCTTATTGAGACAGTCTTGTCAAGGAGTGTTAGTTAGTCATTTCAGATTTTCAGTCAAGGCCAGGATAAAGGTATAATATAGGTTACATTGGTGAGAAGTCTAGTGGACATGAGGAGGTGGCTGCAACAGTGAAATATCCTTTGGATTTCAAGGCAGAATACTTGATGGAAGGCAGCATTACAGGCATGTTGCAGGCAGCGCTAGCTTCCTTTTGCACCCTGCTCTATGTTTTGCTTTGCATTTTGCTTTAATTCACTTTACTTTATTTTGGCTAAGTCATTCTTTATAAGCAGAGGCAACTATCATGGTCTTTCTTTGAGCAATGTGGTCAGTAAGCAATCCACAGAGAGCATAATTTCCAGCATTTCTGAAGGGGTTATTCTTTGTTAGCCTCTTTCCCTTTTCCTCAACTAGACAATGCAGTGGATTTAATTATCTTCCATCACCAACCTCCATTAACATAGTGCTGTACAGTCTGCCCCATGCAGCAACCCACAGAGATACATATTAGCCTATTTTCCAATGAGAAAACTGAGTTTAGAAAGGTTGAGTGACGCACAGTAAATGGAAGAACAGCTGACTTTGAATGTAGTGTTCTTTGCAAAGGACTTGGCTGCTCTAATTGCCCAAGAACGTTGAAACAAAGAGTTATTTGAATGACAAATCATTGCCTTCTGTACACAGAATCTAATTTGTGGTTTATAAAAGGTCTCAAAGTATATTGCAGGATTTTATGATAGACTGTATTTCTTTATTACCAGGAGTTGCTGTTCTATTTCCCATTATATTATTTAGGTTCTAGTAACCTTTGAAGAATGTTTAAAAGGTGCAAAGTGATATGCCTGGAAAGTTTAGTTTTTTATCTGCTAGGGGGAGTCTTATGCCCCAAAGGAATAGAATGCTAATCTTTAACTCTGTCAGAAGCCTTCTAAATGCTGCTTTGAAACGTTAGGTTTAAATGGCTTCATTAATATATGGCACATTCCCTGAAGTCCATAAATAGCTGCATTTGTTTTCTCTGGAGTTAAATATTTTCTTTATTCACCTTCCTTTCATTCCCTTCTGAATCTTGAACTTGGGAACTCCCAACAAAATTGTCCCTAATATTCTTTTGTGTTATACACTTAACCGTGAGCCCTCATTTTCTCATCTGTGAGTATAATTGAGAGACTAGCATATTTGTGAGGGCATCATTGTAGGAGAAACACCATTTTGTAAATTTTTTTTTTTTTTTTTTTTTTTTTTTTTTTTGAGACGGAGTTTTGCTCTTGTTACCCAGGCTGGAGTGCAATGGCGCGATCTCGGCTCACCGCAACCTCCGCCTCCTGGGTTCAGGCAATTCTCCTGCCTCAGCCTCCTGAGTAGCTGGGATTACAGGCACGTGCCACCATGCCCAGCTAATTTTTTCTATTTTTAGTAGAGACGGGGTTTCACCATGTTGACCAGGATGGTCTCGATCTCTCGACCTTGTGATCCACCCGCCTCGGCCTCCCAAAGTGCTGGGTTTACAGGCTTGAGCCACCGCGCCCGGCCCCATTTTGTAAATTTTTAAACATTATCCAGAATTATTGAGAATTGAGATGTTTTTAGAGAGACAAATTTTATTCTTTTAAGCCCCACACTGAAAACCAACTACACTTTTAACTATCTTATTTAGAAACATTTCAAAATAATCTTACTTTAAAAAAAAAAGTATTCACTCATAAAAAGAGAAAGAATATGTTAAATATAAAGAAACTTAAAAATGACTCTGTCATTATTAATTTTACCACTTATTAAACTGGGCTCTAATGTAATGGTGCCCGGAAGATTGAGAGGCCTGTGGGATTGTTGGCTCCCACACTAAAGAACTCCCATAACTCTGTATTTTAGTTTCTGCATTAGAAAATTGTATAGTCAGGATTCTTCAGAGAAACAGAACCAACAGGATCTGCATCCCTCTTTAGGTAGACATGCATATAGAAATTTATTTATTAATATATTTAAATGGATTAATATATATGCATATATTAATTTTATACATGTATTAATTTTATACATATATAAATTATCTTTATTATAGAGCTTTATTTCTACATATTATACATAGATATCTATATGTAATATATAGATATGTAATATATCTGAATTATATAATATATCTGATATATATGTGTGGATTACTATATGTTATATATAGATAGCTACATACTATGTATCGGTATATAATACATCTCTTTATCACACACACACAAACACACACACACACACACGACATAAAGAGATTTATTTTTAAGGATTTGGTTCATGTGATTGTAGAAAATCTGGCAAGTCCAAAAACTGGAGGCTGGAGACCCTGAGAAGACCTGTGGTTCAAGTCCACGGGCTGTCTGCTAGCATAATTCTCTCCTCTTCTGGGGAGACAAGTCTATTTTCTACTTAGGCGTTTGACTGATTGGGTAAGGCCCACTCACATTCCGAAGGGTACTCTACTCAAAGTCTATGATTTAAATGTTGAGCCCATCTAAAAGGTACCTCCACAGAAACATCTAGAATAATTTTTGACTAAATATCTGAGTACTGTGGCCTAGCTGAGTTGACATGTAACATCAACCGTCACAGTTTCTATGTGTGTTTTTTCAGTAGTTTTCCTATCACTTCCTTTGCGGTCAAGCTGTCATTTGACATTTCTTGCTGCTGAAGATGTAACTTCTCTGAATACCACATTCAATGCCTTCTCATTTGCTGTGCTGTATACTGAGAAATGAGAACACCCTGTTTATTTAAATCCTCTTAAAGCAAGACTCAGCATAATGGTGAGAGGGGCTCACACTCCAGAGAAAGTACATGTGAATTAATAAATGACTTGATGTCATTTTTCACCCCTTTGTGATTTCTGACAGATGATTCTCAATTGTGGTTGTGCTAGCAAGACCTGTGATTCCCAGATAGGTGAGATTACCAGTCTCTTCAAAAATATTTAGGAAAGAGGAAGCAGAAGCAGGGAAAAAGGGTGATTTTATGCTGAAACCATCATGAACATCAGGAGGACTGTTTGTTTGGGATCCCAAAGATTAGTGGATTTTGTTTTGTTTGTTTTTTTGAGTCTTGCTCTGCACCCAGGCTGGAGTACAGTGGAGTGATCAGGGTTCATTGCAGCCTCAAACTCCTGGGCTCAAGTGATTCTCTTTCCTCAGCCTTCTGAGTAGCTGAGACTACAGATGCATGCCAACATGTCCAGCTAATTAAAAAAAATGTGTATACACGCACGCGCGCACACACACACACACACACACACACACACACAAATATTTGGTAGAGATGAAGTCTGGCCATGTTACCCAGTGCTGGGTTTAAGCCACTGCACCTGGCTGAAAATATATTTTTTACAAGTGGATGAGATGGGTATAGAAAGCAGTTAGAATGAATAATATCTAATATTTGATAGTACAAGATAATTTAACTGTATATTTAAAAATAATCAGGAGGATAATCGGATTTTTATAACCCAAAGGATAAATGCTTGAGGTGATGGGTACCCCATTTACCCTGATGTGATTATTATGTATTGTACGCCTGTATCAAAATATCTCATGCACCCCATAAACATATACACTGATTTTGTACCCATGAAAGTTAAAAATTTTAAATTAAAGAAAAAAGTGAATGAGGTTATTACCCAGATTGTAGTTGATTAATATTAAAAAAAGATAAACACACACTGTCATAAGTAACTTATAAAAAAAAATACATATTCTAATTCCCATAGATTAATATCAATTATCTGATTTTTTTCTTTCTTTTCAATTCAGTGTGTTGGTATGCAGATAGAGCCTAAACAGGTGATGGAATAAGAGACTTGCCTAACGTTTTTACAAGGTTTATTTCCAAGAAAGACTAGAGAGTTTTGTTTTGGTTTGTTTGGCTAACTTAATTTTATTTAATTGGATTTTGGAAAATGTTAAACTCCCTACTGCATTGAGGTCAGGACTTAGATTTGAAAAGGGAACCCACAAAGAGGCATTTCCAAAGTTAGATCACTTATAGAGGCCACCTCCATGATTTGAAACTCAACCCATTTTTCACATATGCTCCATGTGCTTTGGAAAGCCCTTCAAGGACTTGTCATCTTAGAATCTGGAGAAACTGGTGCAGTAACACAACTACTTGGATGTGGGTCTTAATGCTTCTTGAAGGAAATGTTTGGAAGGGGCATTGTGTACTTTTGAATCATGCTCCAAGGAAGCCCACCTTGTATCTAGTTTTAATGCATCACTTGTCTCTTTCCACAGATGGCGTGATCAACATGAGCATCCCCATTGTACTGCCCCTCTCTACAGAGGATAAGACACGGCTGGAAGGGTGCAGCAAGTTTGTCCTGGCATATGGTGGACGGAGGGTAGCTGTCTTACGAGACCCTGAATTCTATGAACACAGAAAAGAGGAGCGCTGTTCCCGTGTGTGGGGGACAACGTGTGCAAAACACCCCCATATCAAAGTAAGTCACAAAACCTTTGGAAGGACTTTCTTGATCTAGTTCAACTGAGAGGAAAAATAACTCTTTTTAATTCATTTGTAAAGGACGTGGATAAACTGGGATTAGATGGAAGAATGTATTTCTAAGGTAAGCTTGCAGGTTTTGCCTTTGGAGATGTTTTCAGAAAGTTGCAAAGGAATGTCTTTCTGTTTGAGGGCTGGTCTCAAAGATCTCTTGAGTCCTCAGATTCTGCGATGGCTGGCGTCCTCAGCTAAATGGGGCCAGATAAGTAATTTAGTCTGACAATCTGAGTAGAGGAACAAAATAGCTGTAGCTGTGCACAAAACCATAACCTGAGCTGGCAGCCCTGTTCATCTTGAAAATGGACAAGGAAAATAAATATCTTCATACAGATTGGGCCCAACTAAACACTGGAACAAGAACGAGTTCTTGCTCTATGGCTAGTGAGGGGGTCAATAATATTCTTTCAGTAAACAAAAATCAGCACAGACAGTGGCAGAGTTTCCAGAGGGAAGATACCACATTTTTGTTAGTGGATACTTTTAAGATTGAAAAAATGTATTCATCTGATAGGATCAGGTAAGGTTTGTCCTGCCTAAAGGCAAAATACACTAACTCCTCAGATTCCTTCATAGGTTCTAATTGCTGTTGGTGATGGGGTGGGATGGGATTTTATGAAGTTGCTGACTGTGGTTCACTTCCCATAAAGAAAAATAAGTGAAATTGGATGCTAAAGCCATCCCTCATCCAAGATAAGAGCAGTAGGGTGGAAATGAAAAAAGTCATATATTACTATATGACTTCTCAAATCTCCCAGCATGTCCAGTTCAGCATGTTCACAGGAAGAGAGAGCATTTATCAGGCCCAGGAGACTCTAAAAAGCCTGGGATTGGACAAGGCATGCCCTGTCTCTGAGCAGTTTCCTTATTTACAAAAGGAGAGGCCAGACTGGGCACAGTGGCTCACGCCTCTAATCCCAGTACTTTGGGAGGCTGAGGCCAGTGGATCATCTGAAGTTGAGAGTTCAAGAAGAGCTTGGCCAACATGGTGAAATCCCATCTCTACTAAAAACACAGAAATTATCTGGACCTGGTGGTGGGCACCTGTAATCCCAGCTACTCGGGAGGCTGAGGCACGAGAATCACTTGAACCCGGGAGCCAGAGGTTGTGGTGAGCTGAAGTGCCACTGTACTCCATCCTGGGCAACAGAGCAAGACTTTGTCTCAAATTAAAAAAAAAAAAAAAAAAAAAAAAAAGGAGAGGCCAGATGCAAAATAACTGTAAGGTCTCTTCTAGTCCCATGAGCCTGCAAAAAGATACGGCTTCTTTTGGTCTTTGTTTTTGTTACAAAATGTTCCAAGATAGGAAAGACCTTTTAAAGGCCCCTGTTTGTGGCCTCTGAAGGCCTTCTTTATCTGAATACAGAAGGTCAATGGCAAGCAAAGCAGTTTTTTCATTATTTATTTATTTTTATTTTTATTTTTATTTATTTATTTATTTATTTATTTATTTTTTTGGAGACAGAGTTTCGCTCTTGTTACCCAGGCTGGAGTGCAATGGCGCAATCTCGGCTCACCACAACCTCCGCCTCCTGGGTTCAGGCAATTCTCCTGCCTCAGCCTCCTGAGTAGCTGGGATTACAGGCACGCGCCACCATGCCCAGCTAATTTTTTGTGTTTTTAGTAGAGACGAGGTTTCACCATGTTGACCAGGATGGTCTCAATCTCTTGACCTCGTGATCCACCCGCCTCGGCCTCCCAAAGTGCTGGGATTACAGGCGTGCACCACTGCACCCGGCTATTTTTATTTTTTGAGATGGAGTCTCGCTCCGTCTCCCAGGCTGGAGTACAATGACAGAATCTCGGCTCACTGCAATCTCCGTCTCCTTGGTTCAAGTTATTCTCCTGCCTCAGCCTCCCATTTAGCTGGGATTACAGGTGCCTGCCACCATGCCTGGCTAATTTTTGTATTTTTAGTAGAGAGGTTTTTACCATGTTGGCCAGGCTGGTCTTGAACTCCTGACCTCAGGTGATCTACCCACCTTGGCCTCCCAAAGTGCCAGTCAGGCATGAGCCACTGCGCCCGGCCGCTGCTTTTTCATTTATTGGACACAACTATCCACCCTGCAGATAAGCATCTTTAATCTTAATGTACATCAAAATCAAAGTCATCTGAACAGTGTTTCTCAAAGAAGCTGTCAGCCAGTCCTTGAAATTGCTGGACACAGACTGAGAGCTGCTGGAGGAATATTGTGTAATGGGCTGTACTTATATCTCTGATTATTTCTTTCCTGATCATAATCATATAGCTTTGGGAATTTGGGGGGATTTTATCTTTACTCAGTGACTGAAAGAATAGTAGCCTTTGGTTATGGTTATGTCAGCTCAGATATTTCTACCCTTCGAGTCTGATATTCACATACATATGACTAGCACTAAAAAAAAACTGAAGAGTTTCTTAAGTGATTACAGGCATGCCTCATTTTATCATGTTTCACAGATACTGCTTTTATTATTATTATTATACTTTAAGTTCTGGGGTACATGTGGAGAACGTGCATGTTTGTTACATAGGTATACATGAGCCATGGTGATGTGCTGCACCCATAAACCCCTCATCTACATTAGGTATTCCTCCTAATGCTGTCCCTCCCCTAGCCCCTCACCCCCTGAGAGGCCCCAGTATGTGATGTTCCCCTCCCTGTGTCCATGTGTTCTCATTGTTCAACTCCCACTTATGAGTGAGATATTTACGGATATTGCTTTTTTTTTTCTTTTCTTTTTTTTTTTTTTAACAAATTGAAGGTTTGTGTCAACCCTGCACTGAGAAACTGTGCATTCTATTTTCCCAGCAGCATGTGCTCATTTTGTGTCTCTGTGTCACATTTTGGTGATTATCACAGTATTTTTAGATTTCTTCATTATCGTTGTGATCTGTTATGGTGATCTATGATCAATTATCTTTGATGTTACTGTTGTAATTGTTTTGGGGCACCACAAACTGCACCCATAAGATGGCAAACTTAATTGATAAACGTTGTGTGTGTTCTGTCTTCTCAACTCCCCCATCTCTCTCCCTCTCCTTGGACCTCCCTATTCCTGAGATACAACAATATTGGAATTAGGCCAATTAATAACCCTGCAATGGCCTCTAAGTTTTCAAGTGAAAAAAAGACTCACACATCTCTCACTTTAAATCGAAAGCTAGAAATGATTGAGATTAGTGAGGAAGGCATGTAGAAAGCTGAAATAGGCCTCCTGGGCCAGTTAGCCAAGTTGTGAATACAAAGGAAAAGTTCTTGGAAGAAATTACACACCGTGAGCAAACAAATGATAAGAAAGCAAAGCAGCCTTATTGCCAATGTAGGGGTCAAGGGAAAACTTCCCCTTTGCCCCCTGAAATTTTACTGAAAAGGCAACTGACAAGAGGCAGATTAATAAGAGAAGAGGCATCCAGATTTATTAGTGCACAAGGGAAAAATCGCAGAGTGATTACTCCTTACCCCCGATGGGGCAGAGAAGCTTATTTACCATCCTGAGATTATAGAAAAAATGAGAGCTCAGAGGATGGCCAAAACCAGGTTATGGCAGTAAATCAGGTTATGCTGGTAAGGCAGGTTGTGGGAGGGAGATAAGAGAAGGCCTAGCTAGCAAAGATGGTCTTGTTACATAGATGAAATTTTAGAGGTAAATGTTTCTTTACCTGAGAGTCTCAGTTAAGGTTCCTAGATCTGGCAAGGGAAGGCCCTCAGAGAAAGCCTGGCTGCATCAACATACATTTTCTCTTCAAATGCAAATGTCCCCTACAAAAGGCAGATTTTTAGCTATTTTTATATTCCAGCCCTTCTGAATAGCCATCTTGAACTATGTCAAGGAAATATATTTTGGGGTGAAATATTTTGGTTTCCTTAATGGATATGGAGAAGGTTTGAGTGGTCTTGTCCAACTAGTCACAACATTCCCGTAAGCCAGAACACCTGATCCAGAGCAAAGCCCTAACTCTCTTCAGTTCTGTGAAGGTTGAGAGAGATGAGGAAGCTGCAGAAGAAAAGTCAGAAGCCAGCAGAGGTTGGTTCATGAGGTTTAAGGAAAAAAGCCATCTCTACAAAATAAGAGTACAAGTTGATGCTGCAAGTGCTGCAGGAGCTGCAGCAAGTCACCCAGAAGATCTAACTAAGACAATTGATGAAGGTGGCTACACTAACAATAGATTTTCAGTGTAGAAGAAACAGCCTTCTACTAGAAGAAGATGCCACCTAGGACTTGTATAGCTAGAGAAGTCAATGCCTGGCTTCAAAGCTTAAAAGGACAGGCTGACTCTCTTGTTAGGGGCTAATATAACTGGTGAGTTTAAGTTGAAGCCAAGGTTCATTGGCCATTCTGAAAATCCTAGGGCCCTCCTAAGGATTGTGCCGAATTTATTCTTCCTGTGTTCTTTAAATGGAAAAACAAAGCATGGATGATAGCACATCTGTTTACAGCATGGTTTACTGAATATTTTAAGTCCACTATTGAGACTGACTGCTCAAAAAAAGACTCATTTCAAAATATCACTGCTAATTGGCAGTGTGCCTAGTTACCCAAGAACTTTGATCAATATGTACAAGGAGATTAATTTGCTTTCGTGCATAACACAATATCCATTCTGCAGCCCATGGATCAAAGAGTAATTTCAACTTTCAGGTCTTATTGTTTAAGAAATACATTTTGTAACCATCCTTTTCTTGGGGTTGTACTACTGTCCAATGAATGCATAGTGAGGGCAGTACTGCTAACGCTTAAACATCACACTCATATCAACTAAAACTCTGCTTTATGTTGGTGCAATTTTGGAAAAAAATTTCGAAGAAAAAAATACGTTTTGTAAGGATATAGCTGCTCTAGATGGTGATTTCTCAGATGGATGTGGGCAAAGTAAACTGAAAACCTTCTGGAAGGGATTCATCTTTCTGGATGCAATTAAGAACATTTGAGGTTCATGGAAAGAAGTTAAAATGTCAACATTAATGGGCGTTTGGAAGAAGTTGATTTCATCCCTCATAGATGACTTTGAGAGGTTCAAGACTTCAGTGGAAGAAGTAACTGCAGATGTGGTGGAAATAGCAAAAGAACTAGAATTAGAAGAGGAGCCTGAAAAAGTGACTGAATTGCTGCAATCTCATGATAGAACTTGAAAGGATGAGGAGTTGCTTCCTATGGATAAGCAAATAAATCAGTTTTTTGAGGTGGAATCTACCCCTGGTGAAGATGCTCTTGAAATCACAACAAAGGATATTATGTAAACTTAGTTGATAAAACAGTGGCAACCTTTGAGAGGACTGACTCCAATTTTGAAAGAAGTTCTACAATGGGTAAAATGCTATTAAACAGCATCTCATGCTACAGAAAAATCTTTCATGGCATAAAGAGTCAATTGATGTGACAAACTTCATTATTGTCTTATTTTAATAAATTGTCACAGCCACCCCAGGCTTACGCAACCATCACCTGAATTGTCAGCAGCCATTAACACAAGGCAAGACCCTCCACCAGCAGAATGATCACAACTCTGAAGGCTCAGACGATCATTAGCATTTTTAGCAAAAACATATTTTAAAATTAAAGTAGGCTGGGCATGGTGGCTCACACCTGTAATTCCAACACTTTGGAGGCCAAGTGGGTGGATTGTTTTATCCTAGAAGTTTGAGACCAGCCTAGGCAACATGACAAAACCATCTCCCTACTAAAAATACAGAAATTTAGCTGGGCATGGTGGTGCACACCTGTAGTACCAACTACTCACAAGGCTGAGGTGGGAGGATCACCTGAGCCTGGGAAGTTGAGGCTGCAGTGAGACACAATTGCATCACTGAACCTGGGCTATAGGAGTAAGATCCTTTCTCAAAAAAAAAAAAAAAGAAAAGAAAAATTAAGATATATTACATTTTAAAGACATAATGCCATCGCACACTTTGTAGACTATGGTATAGTGTAAATATAACTCTCAAATGCACTGGGAAACCAAAAAAATTGTGTGATTCCTTTTATTACACTATTCACTTTATTGCAGTGGTCTGGAACTGAACCAGCAATGTCTCCGAGGTATGCCTGTATTTTTTTCATTATGCCTTACAATGTATGTTGGCAGATGGAACTCATAATTTTAGAATTTCTTAGAAGCCAGGGAGAGTGGTGGCATGACTTGTGGCTTTGACAATATTGTCAGTAACTCTGTACCTTTAAGTCATTAGAAGAACTCGATAAACATTCCCAAGTAGCCAATGGTGAGAAATGAGCCTTGGATAACCAGAGAGAGAAAGCCACTAACCCTACAGACACCATGTGCAAAAGTAAAAGAGACTGAAGAAGATCATTGCATGTACCAAACAAACAAGTTTTCTTGGCAAAATAATTCCCTTTGTTTTGTCCTTTTTTTTTTTTAGCACTCTGAAACCCACAGAAACACTTTAATATAGGTTTTTAGAACCTCATAGCTTCTAACAGTCATTACTCCCAAAAGTATAATCCTGGGTCTTATTCTTTTTCCATGTGGCACTGGGAGTGATATTTGCCAAGAAAATAGAGTCACTAGGAAATGGTCTGCCTTTGTTACAGAGCTTATCACCAGTGTCACCCTTGACCTTCCATTCAAGGCATCCAGCCCTCTCTTTGGTGTCACAAAATATAGAACCATGTGCCATTCGCTCAGATGAAATCATCAGGAGGAGCAGGTGAAACTGGTAGAACTAATGCTTGGTGGAGCTCTATTGACTTTCATCTATGGCTCCCAAAGATTTTTCAAGTAGTAATTATTTCTCACAATGCTCTTGGTGCAGTAACTAAGAATCATTACTCCTGTTTTGCATTCTACATTTTCTTGTACAAACCAAGAGAACAGAATATGACTTCTCAATGAAAGACAGGAATGAGAGTTTTATAGCCTTTAGCTCCACAGTGAAAACCATATGGTTAGTTACAGCAACAGAATCACCTGAGGAGCTTTACAAATTACCCATGACTAGATCCATCCTCACAGATTCTCATTTAATTGGCTTTGAGTCAGGTCTTATTGTTGAGGGGTGGGTAGTTAAAGCTCTCCATGATTCTGATGTGCTGTGAAGGTTGAGAACCATTGAATTAGATAATTGGAGCTGTTTCCTTTATGGCCCCACCTGCGTATGTCCTGCAAGTACCTCAAACTCAACCGTGTTTAACCTCTCCCCAAGCCTGTTCCCCCTGCTATGTCTCCTATCTCAGTGACAGCTTCACCATCCCGGTGGTGGCCTGTGGCCAAAACCTGGATGCCATTCTTGCTTCTCTCTTCTCCACTTGTTCATTCAGTCACCAAGTCCTGCCAAATGTAGCTTTCAGGTATTGCTTGAATTTGCTCACTCCTCTTCTGTTCCATCTTGAGTCAGGACATTTCATTTCTTCTCTGCCTCTTTTCTTACTCCCGCCTAATCTCGACTCTTTAGCTAAAGTGAATTATTCAACCTTTCTTTGGAAACCCCTTTATTAAGATATGATTTACTGCCAGGCCCGATGGCTTATGCCTGTAATCCCAGCACTTCGGGAGTCCGAGACAGGTGTGTCACAAGGTCAGGAGATCGAGACTATCTTGGCCAACATGGTGAAACCCCGTCTCTACTAAAAATAATAATAATAATACAAAAAAGATACAATTTACTGCAAAGCCTCTTGCCACCACCAGCCAACATATTCCCTCCTCCAGTCCTTCTAGAGCTGCTCATTCAATCATGCTGTCTCTGACTTTTACACGTACTCATCATTCAGCCTGGTACACTGTTTCTTCCACCTCGGCCTCTGCACCTTATTACCGCCTTTCAAAAGTCAGCCCCGACTCCCATGACATGTAAGCATGACTGAGTGCCCCTTCTTTGTCCTTCCAGAGTAATTTGGACTTTCCCTGTTCATACCTGTGACAGGTGAAGCTGAAATGTCAACATGGGGGCCACTGATGAGAGGCAGTGGGTGCAGTGGGAAGAATAATATGGTTTGCAGAAGTCTGAGATTTTGGGTCCTGGTTTTGGTAAGAAAGCTCTGTGCACTTGAACTCAGCCACTTCCCCCCTGTAAAACTGCCTTGTTTTCTGAAATGAGAACATTTAAATCTACATTATCTACAGGTTCCTTAAAGCCCCAGGTTGTATGACTATGACTGATATCAGAGAAATGAATGTGCATATATATATATACACACACACACACACGAGAATATATGTGTGTGTGTGTGTGTGTGTGTGTGTGTGTGTATTCTCCTCTTGTATGCCTTAGTTTTTCTTCTCTTTGATTCTATTCTGTTCTCTGCCCGCTTTCCTCATGACCTTATCTTCCTGAACTCCTGAACTCATCATTTCTTTCCTTCTTTCTGGTTTCTTTCCCTTCTCTCTTCTCCCCTTTTGCATTCTTTTTCACCTTCCCTCAGCTGCTCCTGCCTTTCCAATTAGTGCATTCCCTCATCTTCTCCAGATTGTTCGTTTTGAGTCTTCCTCTCCTTGGCCTCTTCGAGCCTATTCCTCATAGCTTTCTTAGTCTTCACCCTAGTGGTTGAGCTCACCCTCTCCTTTTTGCATTCTTGTCATGTGTGATTCCTAGCGCAATTCCCTATTTGCTACTTCACCAGGGTTCTGAAGCCTGACCCTGGTTCCTTTTGGTGCACAGTTCTGCAAATTCTCTAGCCATGGCTCCCCTGCTTTCTTTGGCAGGAAGGGTGGAGGGACGGGAACTTCTAGGCCACAAAGCCCTGGGAAATTAAGCAGAGCCCCTGGATCTCCCTTCCTGACAGCCGGACAGAGCTCTGGCAATAGCTGGACCACCTTGGGGATAGAGATGCTCTTTGTCCCTTCCCATCACAGAAATGCCAAATGCATAATTTTAACATTTCTCTTCACACAGACAGGTTTTTAGGCTGGGCGGTGGATGAATTTGGTTTGATGCCCTCTTCCTCAATAGATAGAGCAATATAGGGTGGACCCCTAGTGTCCAGAATAAATTACTGCATCCTCAGGGGGTTGGGGGTCAACTCTCAAAATTGTGTTGATAGTCCAACTCTAAGCAATGAGGAGAAAGTATATGTATAGGTATGGGCATTTGAAACTATTCTCGTTGACTGAACACAGAGTTTAGAAAAGAAGCCATGAAAACACAACCAAATACCTTGCATAATTACCTTCTGTCTACCCTCAGTGCTGAGGGTTTCTCAGCCTCAGCACTGTTGACATTTTGGACTAGATAATTCATCAAGAGGGCAGTTCTGTGCAATGCAGGATATTTAGTAGCATCCCTAGCTTCTGTACACTAGATGCCAGTAGCATTACAGTTGTCACAATTAAAATTATCTTCGTATATTGTAAAATATGGCCAGGAATGACTAAATCAGCCTCTGTTTAGAACCACTGCTCTATCCCAATCCCCCACTCCCTGAAACTTTCTGGAATGCAGGTCATGGTAAGCCCCAGTATCTGGGCATAACAGGGACTGTGAACGAGGTCCACCACCACTATCTTCATGTCTTCCTACTAGGCATTTCAAATCAGCTTTCTCTCACTCATTCTGGCCTCCCTCTTCTCTGCTAACATTTCAGGTAACCAAGTTGTCTTTGTACAGTGGTGAAAGGTATATGGGGTTTGATCAGGGGAAGGATTGTAAAATCATTTTATGTTTGACTGAGGAGTAAGACTGTAAGTATTTGTATCGGTGACTCAGGAGAGACACAGCTTTGTAATTGATTATAATTCAATAACAGATGGAATATATTTAAACTTATAGAAAACAAAGGTTGTCATGTTTTTCTTTTTCATTAGTTTGACCATTCTTCAACCCTGGCTCACTCCTAACATTTGTGGGCCCAGAGCAAGAATACAAATGGAGATCCATGCATGATATTTAAAAATTACATGTATAACTAACAAACTGCTAAATAAAATATGTTCGATCCTTCTAATTTGACAACTCTGCCTTGATCACAAACTGGAAAGCCGGGTTCAAATTTAGACTTCTGGGTTCTGCATCAGAATATGGTAGTGTGTGGAGAGTTGACCCTTGGCCTTTCACCAACTCTCCCTTCTTCTGTTATGCCTGGCCTCCTCCTGTGCTGTGTGGGTCCGCTGGATTGATTGTGGGCACCCCAGGCTGCATGCCTGAGCTCTATCCACAACCTCTGCTAGACCCTCCCTGCTTAGCCCACCCTCAGAACTAGGGCTGTTCTAAGTGTGCGTGGTCCATCCTGGAAAGACAGGTTGGGAGATAAAGCTCTCCCAGGCCCTAGCAGCAAGCTCAGAGTTGATTGGGCAGGGAATTCCAGAGTCCTGGATACCTCGATTACGATAAAAAGAGTAGGTAATAATTCTGGGTGCATCTTCCTACCAAGTGTCTCCTTGCCTTTATGGGATGGACAAAACCAAAGGGGGCCAGAGTTGGGACATCTAATGTGTGGGATACTATGAAGGTGGTTCTTCTAGAGGTCTCCAGGTGCTCTTCACACCCACCTTTCTCTGAAGTCACATTTTCAGCTGAGACTGGGAGCAGAAAAGTGCAAGTATTGCTAGTAACCTCAGCAAGATCCTCAGTGAGTTAAAAAATGATTCTTTTTTTAAAAAAAAAAAGAAAGAAAGAAATTTAGGGTAAAAAACAGCATATAACATTTATCATATTAAACATTTTTAAGTATGCAACTCAGTAATATTAAGTATATTCACATTGCTGTGAACCAGATCTTCAGAACTTTGTCATCTTGCAAAATGGAAGCTCTACACCCATTAAACAACTCCCCTGGCTAGGCATGGTGGTTCATACTTGTAATCCCAACACTTTGGAAGGCCAAAGTAGGAGGACTGCTTGAGCTGAGGAGTTTGAGACTTACGTGGTTATCATAGTGAGACCCTGGCTCTGCAAAAAAAATTTTTAATTAGCCAGGTGTGGTGGCATGCTTAAGAGTCTCATCTACTTAGGAGATTGAGGTGGGAGAACTGCTTAAGCCCAGGAGGTAGAGGCTGCAATGATCTACTGAACGTCAGCCTGGGTGACAGAGTGAGAATTGTCTGAAACAGAAACAACTCCCCTCTTCTTCCTTCCTCCAGTCCCTGGCAACTACCATTCCACTCTCTTTCTCTATGAATTCGACTACTTTAGATACCTCACATAAGTGGAATCATGTAATATTTGCCTTTTGTGATTGGCTTATTTCCCTTAGCATAATGTCCTCAAGGTTCAGCCATGTTATAGCATGTGACAAGATTTCCTTCTTTTTTTTTTTTTAACAAACAGATGTTCAGTGTTTTCTCAGATTTCCTTCATTTTAAAGGATGAATGATATTCCCTTGTATGTATATATCACATTTTATTTACCCATTCATTTGGGTTGCTTCTGCCTCTTGGCTATTTGAATAATGCTATGAACATGAGTATGCATATATTCCTTCAACACCCTTTCATTTCCTTTGAATATATACCCATAAGTAGGATTGCTAGATCATATGGTAGTTCCATTTTTAATTCATTGAGGAAACTCCATACTGTTTTCCATAGTGGTTGTACCATTTACGATCCCACTAACAGTGTACAAGGGTTCCAATTTTTATTTTTCTACATTCTCACCAACTTTTTTCTTTGTGTAATTTTTTCTTTTCATGTGTATGTGTGTAAGACAGGGTCTCTCTGTCACCCAAGCTGAAATGCAGTGACACAGTCATGGCTCACTGCAACCTCAACCTTCCCGGGCTCAGGTGATCCTCCCACCTCAGGCTCTCCGGTAGCTGGGAATACAGGCATGCACCACCACACCTAGCTAATTTTTATGTTTTGCAGAGATGGGATTTCACCATGTTGCCAGGCGGGTCTCAAACTCCTGGGCTTAAGCAACCCATCCACCTTGGCTCATGCTGGGATCACAGGCATGAGCGACTGTGCCCAGCAATTTTCTGTTTTTTAACAGTAGCCATCCTAATGTTTGGGAGGTGGTATCTCATTGTGGTTTTGATTTGCATTTCTCATGATTAATAATGCTGAGCATCTTACATGCTTTTGGCCATTTGTAGATCATCTCAAGGCATGTATATTGAAGTCTTTTCTCCATTTCTTAATTGGGTTAATTTTTTTGTCATTGAGTTGTAGGAGTTCTTTATATAGTCTATATATTAACACCTATCAGATAATACGATTTTCAAATATTTTCTCACTTTCTATAGGTTGCCTTTTCACTCTGTTATATTCTTTGATGCACATACATTTGAAATAGTTCCAATTTATTTTTGCTTTTGTAGCCCATGTTTTTGATGTCATGTCTAAGAAATCATTTCCAACTCTAATAAAGCTTTTTCCCTTATATTTTTTTGTAAGAGTTTAATAGTTTACATCTTACTTTCAGGTCTTTCATCCATTTTGAGTTAAATTTTGTATATGGTGTAAGATAAAGGTCCAACCTCATTCCTTTGCATGTGGATATCCAGTTTTCCCAATATTATTTGTTGAAGATACTGTCCTTTCCCCCACTGAGTAGTCCTGGTACCCTCATCAAAGATTATTTGAAAAAATAGGGTTTTAGTGACTAGTCTATGTTTAGCCTAAACGTGGATTTGTCTACTTTTTTGCTGCTCTTTGGAGATTTTCTTTTGTTTTAAAATCAGATATAATTAAAGAAGGCTGCTTCTTTTGAGAATATCCATAGAAGTTGCGTTCAATAATAATTAACTGGTAGAAAACAACTTGTCTGATTTAACCTCAGGGCCTCTAATTTAGGTCCTTATTGAAAATAGTCTAAGATACATCAGACTGTATTAGGAATGTGCTAGCAGCAGTTCTCAAGTATGGTTTACAAAATCCTGAGGGTCCCTAAGACCTTCCTAGAGAATCCCCAAGCTCAAAACTGTGTTCATAATACTAGGACATTCTTTGCCTTTTTCTCCGTGTTGGCATTTGAATTGCTGGTACAAAAGCAATAGTGGCTAAAACTGCTGGCACTTCAGACTTGAGACAGTGACAGCTATCATCCCCATGCAGTTGCAGTAAAAGCAATGCTAGCTTCACCTAAGAGTGTTCTTGATGAAGCTGTAAAAATGATTATTAAATCTTGGCCTTTGAGTCTGTGTCTTTTGGACATTCCATTACAAAAGAGGAAGTACACATTAAAGTACTTCTGCTAACCTACCAACATGCAGTGGTTGTCTTAAGGAAAAGTACTTGTATGATGCTTCGTGCTACAAGCAAAACGAGCCACTATTTTTTTTCATGGATCACCAGGTTTACTTGAAAGAATGAGTGATAAACTATGGTTATTGAGATGTGAATATTTGGTAAATATTTTTCAAAATGAACAAAGTGAACCTGTTAATTCAAGGAAAACAGCTGAGAGTATTCATTGCCAATGATAAATCTTGAGGTTTCAGGCAAAAGATTTCTGGGAAATTTTTATTTGCCACCGTAAGCTTGGCAGCTTCTCAGTACTAAGAAAACTTTTTGATGAAATTGGTAGTAATAGTAACAAATGTGTGTGTTTAAAAATCTTGTAATGAAATATGTCAACATTTGGAATACTTACAGACTCAGTGAACTAATAGTTTCTAACTGGTCAATATATAACATTTCAGAATAATTCATGGGTGAATCATTCATCCAAAGCACAATGAATTTTTAATGTAACCACATATGAAAAGTTCATTAATATGGCTTCAGATTCTACAGTGCAACTTACCTTTAAGATAACATGCTTGTTGAGTTTTGGTGTAGTATCAAATAAAAATATCCATAATTGTGCAGAAAGACTATCCATATCCTCTTCCCTTTTCCAGCTACCTACCTGTAGCTGGACTTTCTTTTTATACTTCAGCCAAAACAATGTATTACTACAGATTAAACATAGATGTAGATATGAGAATCCAGCTGTCTTCTATTAAGTCAGACATTAAAAAGATTGCATATATGTAAACCAGTATCATACTTCCTACATTTGAGGAGGAAAATGTTTATTTTTCACTAAAAATGTTACATTAACATGCAATAGGTTTATTAACATTAGCTTTAGATGGATTAATAAATATTTTTAAAGGTTCTTGGTTTAAATTTATAATATGAGCTATAACCCACAAAAATGAAAGCTTGTGGTGGGGGGTCCTGAGTAATTTTTTAAGAGCATAAAGGGCTCTAGAGACTAAAAAGTTTGAGAAATACTGTGCCAGAAATGCTGAAGAACTGAAGGCAGTTCTTTAACTGTAACCCAAAATGGTCTAAAAGGAGAAAATTTTTCAGATAAAATAAACATCACTATTAATCATTAGCAATCATAATAATGTTCTTTCTAGATGGTGATGGAAAGTGGGGACTGGCTGGTTGGTGGAGACCTTCAGGTGCTGGAGAGAATAAGGTGGAATGATGGGCTGGACCAATACCGTCTGACACCTCTGGAGCTCAAACAGAAATGCAAAGAAATGAATGCCGGTATGTAAGCTAGCCCTAGTGCATTTTATTTATTTCTTTTTATTTTTTTGAGATGGAGTCTTGCTTTGTCACCCAGGCTGGAGTGCAATGGCACAATCTTGGCTCACTGCAACCTCTGCCTCTCAGGTTCAAGCAATTCTCCTGCCTCAGCCTCCCAAGTAGCTTGGATTATAGGCATGCGCCACCATGCCCGGTTAATTTTTGTATTTTTAGTAGAAACATGATTTAAACATGTTGCTCAGGCTGGTCTTGAACTCCTCACCTCAGGTGATCCACCCACCTTGGCCTCCCAAAGTGCTGGGATTACAGGCATGAGGCGGGTGAATCACAAGATCAAGAGATCGAGACCATCCTGGCCAATATGGTGAAACGTCTTCTCTACTAAAAAATACAAAAATTAGCCGGGCAAAGGGGGCAGGGTGCCTGTAGACCCAGCTACTCAGGAGGCTGAGGCAGGAAAATCTCCTGAACCCAGGAGGCGGAGATTGCAGTGAGCCAAGATAACTCCACTGCACTCCAGCCTGGCTACAGGGAGAGACTTCATCTCAAACAAACAAACAAACAAACCTGAAAACATCTTCTATTGGCATGTCTATAATATAGAAAGTTTTATAAAGTTGTACTACATCCGTATGTTAGAACACTATTCAACAAACAGTTCAAAATATTCACTGATACAGAAAGATACCTAAAGCATATTTATTAAGTTAAAAAACAAATTGCAGAACAATATGTAGAGCATAATCATATTTTAGAAAACAGTATCATCATAATTCCAAAATCCCTAACCTAATTCTGTGGGTAGAAGCAGAAAAGTCTCTGACAGCACATGCCCCACACTGCAGATTACAGTGGCTACTTCCAGGGGATGGAGTTTGGACTAAGAGAGTTTTACTCTTTATTGCATATATTTTTAAAGAGGGAGAAAAAGTAATAATAGGATTATTGGTTATTTTTATATTCTATTTTGGGCTTTTCTATATTTCTCAAGTTTTTCATATCATAGACATAAAAGTTATTTCATTACCAGAAAAAAAAAATTAAGGCTCTCAGGAGTCCATCACTAAGTGGAGTAGTTTCGGGGATTTCTTTAAAGTGAAGGGGAAATTTTTTTCTATCTTTAGATTGTTGCCCCTTGTACAGGCCCCAGAAAACATTCCTCACAATTATTCATCTCCCTCCAGGCTCCCTAGTAGAAGAGGAATAATTAACACTGGCTCTGCCTGAGCCTTGTGTACAGGAAAGGTCCTGGCAACAAATGTTTTCATTCCTGAGTTAGGTTCTCCCTAAAAAGCTTGCTGCCTCTGCATCTCATCCCTCTCTCGGCAATCTGGTGTTGGTTAGTGGTAGATGAGCACCTTAAAGACCCAGGGGCATTCTGCAGCTGATTTATCAAAAGCCAGTGGATAGGCTTGGTGTGGTGGCTCACACCTGTAATCCCAACACTTCGGGAGGCTAAGGCAGGCAGATCACCTGAGTTCAAGAGTTCGAGACCAGTCTGGCCAACATGGTGAAACCCTGACTACTGAAAATACAAAAATTAGTTGGGTGTGATGGTGCATGCCTGTAATCCCAACTACTCAGGAGGCTGAGACAGGAGAATTGCTTGAATTCAGGAGGCGGAGGTTGCAGTGACCCAAGGTCACCCCAGTCTGGGCGACAAAGTAAGACTCTGTATCAAAAAATAAAAAGCCAGTAGATAGCAAATGCACTGAACAATAAACACAGCTGTGTCCTTCCTGTTCTTGTGGAGAAATGATGCCATGTGTTTCTGTGACCATGGCTCTTCTGCTTTCCTCTCCCAGATGCAGTGTTTGCATTCCAGTTGCGCAATCCTGTCCACAATGGCCATGCACTGTTGATGCAGGACACTCGCCGCAGGCTCCTGGAAAGGGGCTACAAGCACCCGGTCCTCCTGCTGCACCCTCTGGGCGGCTGGACCAAGGATGACGATGTGCCTCTGGACTGGAGGATGAAGCAGCATGCGGCTGTGCTCGAGGAAGGGGTCCTGGATCCTGAGTCAACCATTGTTGCCATCTTTCCATCTCCCATGTTATATGCTGGCCCCACAGAGGTGAGCAATTCTCAGAGCTGGGCTTTGGGACTCAGGAATGCAGACTCAAACTTTACTTAGACTGGTAAATGAGTCTCTGGGATCCTTTCTGCTTCCACATGAGCACATTTTGGAATGTTCTGGTCTCTTATCAAACTTAATTTTGTTTCCACTTAGTATTTGAAAAATGCTAGAAACATCAAATCAAGCCTATTATACATTGCCTTTGAGAATATGGAAGTTGCCAGGTGAATGATGTGGCTAATGAAACTTAACTGGGTTATAGGACAAGTTGTGTCTCAATTTCATTTATTTTTATTTTTATTTTTTATTCTTTTTGAGACGGAGTTTCGCTCATTACCCAGGCTGGAGTGCAATGGCGCAATCTCGGCTCACCACAACCTCCCCCTCCTGGGTTCAAGCAATTCTCCTGCCTCAGCCTCCTGAGTAGCTGGGATTACAGGCACGCGCCACCATGCCCAGCTAATTTTTTATATTTTTAGTAGAGACGGGGTTTCACCATGTTGACCAGGATGGTCTCGATCTCTCGACCTCGTGATCCACCTGCCTCGGCCTCCCAAAGTGCTGGGATTAAAGGCTTGAGCCACCGCGCCCGGCCCTGATATTCAATTTCAGAAGTTCCAGTTCCTCACTATGCCCTGTGAGCTTCATTAGAAGGGAGACGGTATCTTTAAAAGATAAATGTCACCCTTTTATCATAACACAGTGAGCTCATCAAACAGAGATTTTCTTTGTCACACTGCACCACCAGTGTAGTGGATTTGAACAAGTTTGCCGCAAGTATGATGAATAGAAAGGGTCTCAACCCTTTGGAATGCCCCAAACTGAGTTTAATGAATTAATTCTCTTCAATTAGATCAAAGTTCCAGGCCCCTAGCTCTCCTCTCTATCCTTTGTATTGCTATCTGAGCTTTAAAGAGGGCAAGTGTTACGCTGAACTAGAAGCAGCTCCATGTGAAAGGTAATTAGTTCATTAATGGCAGTCAGATGAGATACTGGAGTTTGTAATTTCCTTTAAACTGCGATTTATTCTGAATAGTGAAGCACTGGAAAGTAAACTCCACATAGTTCTGTAGAATAGTAAGATTTGAGTGTTCTTGGCCTGCCAGCGTGTTTGGAGAAGAGATGAAGAAATACAACCTTGAGTTATGAGGGAGGAGTCCTATCTATCTTTCTATCCTACCTAATATAACAAAACACGAAGAGTGCTTGGGAGTCTTAAAACCTCAGTGATTTTCTTGCAATTCTTAGTTGACTCACATTGCTGAATTACTTTTAAAGCAGAATAAAGGTGTCTCCATAAATTATGACTCAGAGTTGACCCACGATAACCAGCATGTCCCTAATGTGACATTTCCTAGGTCCAGTGGCACTGCAGGTCCCGGATGATTGCAGGGGCCAATTTCTATATTGTGGGCAGGGACCCTGCAGGAATGCCCCATCCTGAAACCAAGAAGGACCTGTATGAACCCACTCACGGGGGCAAGGTCTTGAGCATGGCCCCTGGCCTCACCTCTGTGGAAATCATTCCATTCCGAGTGGCTGCCTACAACAAAGCCAAAAAAGCCATGGACTTCTATGATCCAGCAAGGTAGGTTTTCAGAGTAAAATTATTTTATCAACATCTGTACAACAGGAATGAACAAGCAGAATTTGGGCCCTTTGAAAAACTTCCCAGTGCATTGCCACATGCTCCCAAATGGAATGAGTCTCTTGAGAGTCAAGAGGTGGTGTTATACATTTTATGTCCCCTAAAGTTATAGTACAGTCTTATGGTAGATGGTCCATAAATATTTCTCTTCTAACATGTATTCTTAATCATGCACGGAGTGCCGAGCACACTAAGTGAAAGGAAGCAACATAGAAAGAGATTGCATGAGTATCTATGGTGTACCTGCTTCCCATGCTGAGGGCTCACAGAAGTAGGCAGAGAAATAGAAGACAGTCTCTGGCCTCAAGATACTTCCCAGGAACAGTAGAGGTGCATGGTAAATACTGAATGGATAGCTGCCATTATTTACCTTTTCTTCTGCAAGTTCCTGTTAGAGGACTGCCCACTTTCAAAGATGCAGCATTTTACAGAAAGAATGTGGGTCTCAAAAACTATAACCTACTCCAGGAATCCTTAAGGCAGATATCGTTAACCTACAGTGAGTTCTTTGTTGCTACTCTGTAACAGGCACAATGAGTTTGACTTCATCTCCGGAACTCGTATGAGGAAGCTTGCCCGAGAAGGAGAGAATCCCCCAGATGGCTTCATGGCCCCCAAAGCATGGAAGGTCCTGACAGATTATTACAGGTCCCTGGAGAAGAACTAATGCCTTTGGCTTTGGAGTTTCTTTCTGAAGTGCTCTTTGATTACCTTTTCTATTTTTATGATCACATGCTTTATATTAAATTGCTTCTCAATGATGCATTTTAATCTTTTATAATGAAGTAAAAGTTGTGTCTATAAAGTCAACTTATATATATACACACACAAAGTCAAACTGAAGACCAAATCTTTGCAGGTGAAAGCAATATTCTTATGCATTGCAGAATAAAATTAACTCTTTGTATTCTCTACTGCATCTGAGCAGGCAGATCTCAGATTTCTTAAGGCTTTGTTTGACCATGTGTCTAGTTACTTGCCAAAAAGTGAATACATTTTCCAGCATGTCTTGCCAACCTGCACTCTTCCAATGTCATTTGCCAGTTATAGAATATGTCAGATTAAGCATCCTCTTCTGTATAACTGACCAAAAAAAAAAAAAATTTCTCACTCTAAAAGAAGTGTGGCTTACATCAAGATTCTTCCTGATATTTTACCTCATACCTGTACAAAGCCTTACTGCCCAAATACCTTATGTTAAAGACTTGACTGGAGAAACAAAATGTGCAATAATGTGAATTTAATCTTAGAAATTTGTAAAGCTTCTTTCTGCCACACACAAAAGTTATATTGTCTAATAAGAAGAGAAGTCTTAATGACCTTCTGTGAAAAATGCAACTCCAGTTAAAGTGACTTTTAATAGCATACAGTGCTTTGATGAAGGATTTGCACTGAGGGGTCAAACAATGTGGCAATGTCTTGGAAAGTTATCTTTCCTGCTCTTTGCTGTGGTCACTGTGTCTTGCAGAAAGGCTGGGACTGACTGCAGCAACGTGAGCTGTAATAAAAAATAAGTCACATTATCAGACTAGCAAGGCACTAGAACTAGAAAAGACCACAGAAAACAGAATCCAACCCTTTCATCTTACAGGTGAAGAAACTGCAATGAGGCAAATGTATGCACTTTGTAAGCTGCTGAGCACAGTAACAAAACTGTCACTTTGCCATCGTTAGGAAGTACTGGTGGCAGTAAAAGAGCACCGAGTCCACTTGACTCCCAGTCTTGTGCCCTGTCTGCACCAGACAACACAGGAGCTGGGTCAGATTCCCCTCAGCTGCTTAGCAAAGCTGCCATCTTGGATACTGAAAGATCTTTTCTAAACTCCACTTATTTTATTGCAGTTGAAAATAAAAATTAAAAACTATTCCAAAGATTTCAAGCTGTTCTGAGACATCTGATGACTTTACTTCCTGAGAGGTAATGTTTTTACTTTATGCATAATTCATTGTTGCCAAGGAATATATGAAGAAACAGCACCTTTTAATATATGTCTCTCTGGAAGAGACCTAAACTGGAAAGAGAAAACTGTGATAATTTTCATATTCTCATTTTAAAAAATGCTAATCTTAACAAAAGTTCTTCTGAGAATTACACACAATGGCCACAGCAGTTTGTCTTAATAGTGCAGTGCCTATACTCACATACTCAGTTACTATTGCCTTACCGAAAAAAAACCAGCGTATTTATTGAAAACATGAGACAGGATTATAGTGCCTTAACCAGATATATTTTGTGATTTTAAAAATATATTTAAAACTGCTCTTCTGCTCTAGTACGACACTTAGTGCAAATGATTATTTCTATGTACAACTGATGCTTGTTCTTATTTTAATAAATTTCTCAGAGTGAAGGCTGAGTCTTTTCTGCCTTTAACATTGGGTGTGGGCTGATCACACAACTTAAGGGCTTTTTGACTTTGTATAATTGGAGTGAGACAGCAGCAACTCTCTTGAACATTATAATTGAGACTATTTGCCCTTATTCATGTTTTTTTAATAGAGTCTTGCTCTGTCACCCATACTGGAATGCAGTGGCAGGATCTCAGCTCACTGCAACCTCTGCTTCCCAGATTCAAGTGATTTGCCTGCCTCAGCCTCCTGAGTAGCTGGGATTACAGGTGCATGCCACCACAACCAGCTAATTTTTGTATTTTTAGTAGAGACTGGGTTTTACCATGTTGGCCAGGCTGGTCTTGGAACTCCTAACCTCATGATCCAACCGCCTCAGCCCCCCAAAGTGCTGGGATTACAGATGTGAGCCACCACGCCAGGCCTATTCTTATCATATTCTAAATTGTACTCTAGATGTGTAAGATACATGGTCTCAGCCAAGCACTTAATGACATTTTTGGTGGTTGCTGGATTGCTCAGGAGCCTCCTCAGCCCAGAACTTCTCCACAGGTGTTTTTTTGAGATAAAGCTACTTTGTGGTCGGATGCAGTGACTCACACCTGTAATCCCAACACTTTGGGAGGCCGAGGCGGGTGGATCACAAGGTCAACAGATCGAGACCATCCTGGCCAACATGGTGAAACCGTCTCCACTAAAAATACAAAAATTGGCTGGGCCAAGAAATTCCCTTTTCCTCAAAGGAACAAATCTTACATTAAGTGTCCCTAAGTAGTTTCACCAGCAGGGCTGGAAGCAGTTGGGTTTTTCTTTTCTATTAATGCAGAAAGGGTTACCTGTTAACCACCGAAACTTTCAGCAGCCTTCAGGCCTGCGGCCTTTTTCTGAGTCCCTGCTTCCCTTCTATCCTGAAGGCATCACGCAGTTTTTGCTACTGATCTTCAACCCAAATAAAACTGGTATAAATAGCCAATTCAAAGCTGCCATTTGTAGCCCCCCTTTTTCTCCCCAGATGTTACTTGATGGCTCCTAGTGTCAATTAGTAGGACAAAGTGGTTCGGAAATGCCTACGTAAATACACGAAGATGTCAGGGTTGCTGAGGGAGTATGTCAGACTGTTTCAGAATCTTTGAAAAAGATCCTGAAAGGCATAGGATATCATTTAGTCAGATGATGGCAAACCTTATATATTTATCAACATTTTTATCAAGCCACAGTATTTTTCCCAATCGTCTTCCCCCCACAAGAAGAAACAAATCTTGGTTACTTGGGAACAGCAAGTTCATTTTCTCCTTATCCTCCTGTTTTTTATTATCTGACTTTAAGGTCTACCACTGATTTTCAACATAACTTTCCTTATAGGCAGGAAACCAGCAAACTGGATAGGCACCAGGTCAGTCAATTCTTCTTATGTCTAAAGTTTTAATGGCATGGGAGAAAGCCAGAATATGCCACCCCAGAATATACTTCTTTGGCATATTTCAAATTGATTATTATGAGAACTGCAGGCCTGAATAGCTCTGAAAAGCTGTCCTTTTCTAAAGGAAATGTAAGTACTATCTACCTTAGTAAGGTAAGCAGAGAATGCAAGCAGAGGTTTCTCTCTGAAACTCCTTTATCTGACTAAAGACAGATAAAAGCTCTGACACCTTCCTAAAACAGAGACTACCACAGCTACTCTTCTGATAGCTGTTGCCTAAGAGATTTCATTTGCAGAAGATAGGCTTTGCTTACCATGCAAAGTTGTTCACCACCCATCTAGGCTGATGGACAAGCCATGTAGCATTCATCATCAAGTGGAAATGGAGCTTACGGGATCTGAAGAAAGAGTCCCTGAAGGCCCGCCCACACAAACCACATACATAAGTTGCTCATACTTCCAGCATGTCCACTTATTATAATATTGCCCTTCACTTAGTATACACCCAACACCCAACATATTTCAGTGTTACAGCTTCAAGTAACCACTCTTGTCATTTGTCAGATTATGTTTCTTTAACAGTCTTCCCCACAATTTCCTTTGAATAAATTACTTCTCTTTTGCATTTAGTCTTGATGAATCAGTAAACCCAGCTGCTTTGCCTCAAACCATTTAAGCCAAAGTAGTTCCTGGCGAGTCCTCTCAAAGCTCCGAGACTGCCAGGGGTGATTTTTGCCTGAGTTTGCACACTCACGTCCAGGCATTTAAATCTTAAATGGGCACTGTAAGCAGCTGGAGTTCATTTAATCCATGAGGAATAAAAGCAAGATTATTGAGCAATTTCTGCTTTAAAAATACCTTTGAGGGCTAAGTTTCTATCCTAAGTCTGGTTCTGTAGCTTCCCTTTGATCTTAACCTTCAAATAAATTCTTTATTGCTTAGGTTAGCTAGATTTGTTGCTACCAACAGAATCCTAACCGGTATTCTTTATAAGTCTATGACTATGGCCCAATAGATGACCCTCATCTCCCTTAGACATGACTGCAAATGATTTTGTTTTACTGGATACAACCAATCCCCTATTTGAGTTATCTTGGTCATTCTTAGAATTTCTGCAAGCTATTTTCCGAACAGTGGGGTATATACCATTGTGTTCTATTCTCAGTTCCAAATCTGCATGTCAGTAACTATTTCAATGTTTTAGCTTTAATTTTTTATATATTTTTTAGAGACAGGGTCTCACTATGTCACCCAGTCTGGAGTGCGATGGTGCAATCTTGGCTTACTGCAATTTCTACCTCCTGGGCTCAAGTGATCCTCTCCAGCAGCTGGGACTACAGGTGCACTTGGCATTAGTTTTACAATTCAGTTGTCATGGTTCACAAACCTGTGTCCTTGATGCATACCACACCCAACACTAACATTCACTGTAACCAACTTAAATGTACAAAAGCTAGTTTCTGAAAGTATTCTCAGCAGGTTTATAGCTGTAAATATTAGACAATTACAAAAATAGACTCCCACTTCAGTGTTTTAGTAATGAGACCCTATGGGCCATTAATAAATAGTATAAACTTTACACCAATGTAACTGGGATGTTTTGTTTCTATTCACATTGCTAAGTGGTTTCTTTTACATTTGATATCATCTGCACACAGCATCTGTGTTGTATATGACAATCACATTTTAATCAATTAGGTCAAAAGCCCATATTTAATAAGGTTCAAGTTCTCGCCAATATGATTTTCATCAACATCATGATTTAGACAGAATGTTTTCCTATAGCTGTAAATAAAGAGAAATTTAGCCTTACCAAAAAAAAAAAAAAAAGATTAGAGAACTCTATCTTTGATAAGTAAATCTATAACAAATTTAATAATGAAGGCCCTGTAAAGATTTCTGTCAGCTCTAGATATAATTATTCTATTACTTTATTTGAAGCACCCAGTTGGTGCTGAAGTTTCAGCCATGCACTATATATATTCAGTATACCAGAATTCTGTTCAATATTCTGACTTCAAGAGAAGTTAAAAAGAAACATAAAATATATATCATCCAATTTATTTTCTTTATCCAGAAGAAATGTTAACATTTTTCCACAATAACATAATTCCAGTAAAAAATTCCTACCAATGAGATGATGCAGCCAACATTTTTATACAAGCACAGCTTGAGACATCCTCATCTAGCATTAAACCTGTAAGTTATAGCTACTAAATAATGTTAGGCTATTATGATCCACACAGAATAGATTACCCCAACCCAGCTCTTAATATCATGAGTGCTGGATTTACCTGCAGGTAGGGGGGTTGGCTGAGATCAAAAGGAGACATAGTAAAGGAGATACTGAACTGAATCAAATACTTCATTTCTAAACTCTACAGAAAATGGCCTGGAAATAGCTTGAGACACATCAGACTTATCAAAAGTCTGACAGCAATGATGCTTTTAGAGAAACACGACATAAGTGGTCCTTTCAGTATCAATTCCTAGAGTACGGGCCTAGGGATTATGGAAGTGGTTTAAGCTTGGAGAATGCTTAAAGAATGAGCCTGGTCAACAGGATATGTACATCAGTGTGCAAAAGTGACAATATTAATATGACAGCTAAGGTTTGAGCAGCAATTCTGTGTGAGACACTATGCTGAGTGCCTTACATGCATTATCTTATTATCCAACCCTTTAAAATAAGTGTCACTGTTGCCCCATTTTACAGATGAAAAACTGGGGCTCACAGACGCATAGTTAATGGGGAGCCTGAGTTTAAACTCAGGAAGTCTGATTCTAGATCCAGTACTCTTAAGTATTACCCAAAATGCATTACCTTAGAATCTAGAATTTAACTGCATATATGAAATCCATGTCTAAAACAGGACAGATGTCACATAACACTAAAAGTTATTTAAAAATAAGGAAAATAAAGTTTCCTGAATGACTATGGTCTTAACATGCCTACATGAGTCATGGTTGCTGGGATTAGTATACTGCTCTAACTTTGTTTCATGATTAAAACCACAAAAAAAATTTAATAATCACTCCTATTGGACATTGTGAATTTAAGAGAAGACAAAAAGAAAGCACATGTGGCGGTATATATTACTCCTTACTTTCGATTAATAAGTCACCAGATTAAAGTTAAATGATTACTGAAATTCACATTAAAACAGAAATGACTAGATACTAGGATATGTGCTATAAAAGTATGAAAACTCCATAGCAACATAAAATCTAAACACAAGTTCTGAACCAAAAAAAACCAGAAAATTTGAAATTACTAAGAAAGACAAAAGATTAAGTGGAGAACAACCAATAAAGAGGGACCCCTTTATTACACATTTATAAAATAATAGTATAAGATAGTTATTAAAAATGGGACACTTTTTTTCATTTTTGGTATCTTGTATTCAATTTTTCAAACCTCTTCACAGTCTTCCATAACTTGCTTTTTGTTATCCAGTGTTAACCTGAAACATCCACCCCACCATTGAAAGTGCAACTGAAGAATAAACAATCTAACAGATTCTTGTGAGAGACATTATCAGATAAATTAATCTAGTAACACATGAATAAAGATTGAGGGCT